GGAAACCTCCCACGTCCTGGAAGACTGCTGCCGAAACATTGGCTAGAAGTAGATTAACCCAAAATACCGTTAGCACCAAAGGCGTCCGGAAATTGCGAAGCAACCTGCAGCGGGGTATTGCAGTGATTGAAAAAATCTTCTAAAACGTGATCTCGTTCGTCATTTGTGCTGCAATTTACGGTCCTTGCAAATGACCTTTCATCGTTGTTGTGATGGCTGCTCGTTCACCCTGGTCCATGACCTCACATAACGCGGATGTATGTTCACAATATGTCACCCTCGCCGGTTTGCTCCATATATCCTTAACTTCGCTTAGTGGTCCACCAGTTATCCCACTACCATGTGCTTGCCCTGGCAACTACTCAGTTCCCCATGAGTCGCAACTCTTGTCCAGTGGTTTGCACGTTCACTCCCTCATTCGTTTGTCCCCATTGTCATCTTTGTTCCACTCACTAAATCCGATATCGCTTGGTCCATAACACTGTACTAAGGTGGACGCATACTAAGCGACTGTCAGGCCACCCGCTGACCATAGACTACGGTCTTGTCTATGTGTGCCTTACCTTCACCGATAAGCTTTCGTCGCTTTGTGATTCGCCAGTGACTTTGCTTAAAGTTCCACTCCTATACGGTCACTCTACCTGTCTTCTGGCGGTCTGATTTGAGCTGCGAAATTGACAGCACTCTTTCTCCTCGCTCATTTACTTGAACCGTTGTTGACGGTGATATACTGGGACCCTGAACAATTGAGGTTTGCTCCACTTTAGTTAATTGCATGTATTTTATTAGTAACGCATGTGTTGTCATGGTAAGTCATGGGAATCGAAGGCGGTTGATCGGCGTGCATGGCGCGATCTAATCACGAAGGCAGTTGCCGAAGTGCGGGAGAAAGACCTCATACATGCAGAGAAGAAGCGGCAAGCACCGATGGGTTGTACTCCATCGACATCGAGCGTATGGTGCTGTAGCACATGCGGTCGCGAGTGCCTGAGTCAGGCAGGCCTAGTGAGCCATAAGCGAGACCACTCGGGAACACCACCGAAGCGACGACGGGTCCTGCAGAGAACGTAGACAGAGCCGGCGCATCGTTTGTAGGCACGCTGCATTCGATTTACTAACCGCGTGTGTGCATGCTAAGTCTATTTATTTCAGGTGGTGAGTCTTCAATTTTGGCGTAATGCTTTTCCTTCGCATGTAAATGTCTACCTAAACTCTCTTCGATAGACATGCCAGACGTCGCTTAAGCCAATAGTAATTAGTTTCGATACCATTTTCGTGTTTGTGGCATTTCCGTAAAATATACTTTTCGATCTCACGAACTTATCTCGGATTCGTTTGTAAACAACTTATTTCATATGCTCATTAACTTAAGATTTATGTCACCGTTTCCTTAGGCATTACCCGATTTCTTTTCTTTGTTATCTTTCTTTCAAGTGATTGGATGTTGCTTGATATCCCCGGTGTGGCTACGCTTGATGTGCATGTTGACAAGGTGCCTACCTGTCTATTACCCACTACCTCGTCCATACTGGCTCCAGGAGACAGTTGGTCGTTGCTGGTGGGGACGGGGTGCACGGTCCTTGTGGCCGTGTTAGGCTCGAAGAGTGGTTCCATGCACTCAGTGTGGAGTGGACTACGGTCCAGTCACCGTCTTGTGTGCGCTTGATTCCCCAAATACAGCGTGCTTATGTTTGCCTGTGGAGGAGTGTGGGCCGGCTCCGTTGATGAAACGTGGCTCCCATCCACAAGCCTCCCGTTCTTATTCCTTTGGGTTTACACTGGATATGGGGTGTGTGGATGGAGCTGTGGGTGGTGCAGCGCAAGCCACCCGTGGTCCTTCTGTAGGCGCAGGCGTTCTGTGGCTGGCCACAGTGACAGGCGAATCCGAAACCGGATGCCGCCAACCAATATAAATTGTGATCCAAACTTGTTTTGATTTCGGGATCATTTGGCTGCGCGTCATTCAAGGTTCGATCGGTGAACGTTACACAACCGCTTAATACCGTGATAAACCACTGAGAACATGACAGAGCCAACACAATGCCGTCAACTAAATAATGAAATAGGCAGATCCATATTTCTGAGATAACAGTCTGGTGAGAGATGAGATACTGTAACAAGACACCGCCATCCTCGTAGTGTAGGTGGGAGAAAGGGCAGCTGCTTACAAATCTAACAGACAAGCAGCTGCAATACATAAAAAGGATGAAGTAGGTTTAATATGTAGCCAGATCTTTTATTACTTGGTTTTGGTGCCCCAAATGATGATAATTGTCAAATCCACAAATTTCCATTCTCGGTTAACAGGCTCCAAAACACAGGTTAAGTGGTAGCAAAATCATGAGATCTTAGTGATTGCAACGCAGTAAGGAAAAGTATATGTTGATTAAGCAGAAGCGTTTAGTAATCGAAAGCGGAGACAAAAGAAGCGGTACTATGATAAAAACTCGAAACTAGAATGTGGATACTGCTGGTTAGTGCCCGTACTCTTGTATAACGACGCGTGTATTAAATTAGCCAGCAATAAGTTATCAACAGTTGTGGCAAGCAGCAAATGGATGGTGTAGAAGGTATATCTGAAATCACTTGCCAAAAGAGATTAGATGTATTGAACATTTTTGCATGTTCAATAAAATGATAAAGATCGAACTGTCAACTGACATGGTGAAATGCATTTTAAGAATTCAACTTGATGATGACAACTGTGTGAAGAAGGGCCGGATCATGTATGATATCGTAGAACTTCGACCAGAAACATGTTAAATAAGTGCACCAGCGCAAACTTGATTATCTAAGTTGTGCTGTTACAACCGCCTCACATGCTATTCTTTAACGCAAGCTCTTATGCAGTCTTACTCTCTTCAAAGTTAATTCCCACCACTGACTTCTGATCTAAAACCGAGAGCAAAATTATTTACTGGTTTGAGACCAGGAACTATCTTCGTAATCCGCTCTCAAATTGACTAATGCGTAATATTGGTTCTGCGATTCTCTTCGCTACATTTGTGTTGTAACGCCAACCATTTCCCCTTCTTTTACGGAGTTAACGGTTCAGCAGCACATGCCGCATTTCAGTAGTTAACGATATCGGATTCCGCATTGTACGAATACCTGTTACTAATAATGTCTCCGAAAATGTCTTAGTACGGTTTTGCCTATGAACAATTCGTGCAGTTATCTGTCTTCCGTTGTTACGCCGCACTATTTGATCGCGTGGTCTAGCAATCCATTTTGCGTTGTTGTAAAAAGTCGCTTGCTTAATTTTGGCATTAACGATATTTTGTGTATGGTATTCGATTTATCTCAGTTTACATTCTTTCTTATTTCATTGCTGGCCACGACTGGGCTGATCTCCTGAGGTGACGGATCGTAGCTTCCAAAATATAAAAGACTATACTCAGGCAATGTACATTACGACCGACTAACTGGCGTATAAATTGAATTGAATGATCCGCATGACGGACCGGGCTGAGGCTGCATCACCCATAATGTATGTAAAATGTAGCACTAAAAAGAACACGAATTATGTTAGACAAGTGATGGCTTATAGGTTATTTTGCCATACCTGCACATCGCCAGGGAGCGCATGAAATGCGGATGCGACCTTTCCAGGGAATACCCTGCATGGAAGCAGGTCTCCTGGGGACGGTTCAACGAATAGTCATATTACTTTAGCTGAGCATTTGTTTAAATTCGTAGTTGCTATTGTTCCCAGCATTTCAATTTCTTTAATATCTTAAAATTGCCGAATAATTTACTATCCGTTTTGGATCTTTGGTATAAAGCGTGAAGAATTAATTATTTTGTGCGATCCTGCTGTACACATTGATCAGACCCTATAGTTGGACGGTGCAACGCACCGCCGAAGAATATACCATTTATTTATTTATCACATTACATCCACTCAAAGAGTAAAAGCACACAAAACAGATCAAGAAACGTGTTGAGACAGGGCAACAACAAATATCGGTCTCCGATGAGAGCCGGCCGGTGGCCGAGTGATCTGCACGTTTGCTTTGCAACCATAAGGTCACCGGTTCGAATCCGCGTAGGAGTGGGCGTCCTCACGGTATACTCAGCCCGCGCGCGACTGGTGGTGGTCGCGCGGCAGCGAAGCGCCGTTACGGCGTACAGCTGACACATTATTATTTTATTATTATTTATTACTCCGATGAGAGCATAGTGATCGCACTGACCGAGATTGAGTTTGCGTGTAGCCACGCATTCACACAGTGTGCTTCAAACGAACTAACTAGAAAACCTAAAATATATCCCCAGGTTCGTTATCGAGGTTGAAGAGCGGGTCACGCAGATCGGCCAATCAGGAAAGCATGAACCATAAGGAAACAGTGGTAAACCATCATCAGAATAATATCGATGCCACGAATATTGAGTTCACATTGGGCGTTGGTGAGTTAAGCATCGTGAACAAAGGTGTTTCCCTTCGTACACAAAATGCCAACAACAATTGTAGGATGACGCCACAAACACGCAGATGTAATTTTCAGTAACCCTTTTAATCCGCTAGTGGTGGAGCATTAAACCTAATGGTTGGTACAAAAATTGCACGAGTATTAAAAAAGTGCAATAAGAAGATAATCAATAAATTTTCCGGTTGATGCAACAAAGTCGAAATGTGAATCACCCTGAGGTGTTTCAGTGTTCGGCAACTCCAACCCCAGTAAACAGATTGACGTGTATGGTAAGTTTAACGAAAAAGGAAAGAGCATGAACGCATAAAGGCGCCAGCATTGTTTGCGGAAAAGTTAGCTTGAAAGTTACCCAATCTAATAAACATATTAACACGAAATAACCGATAACAAGGAGAGAAAGGTGTGACATGTAACAATGGTAAACGTAAGATAGAAATACGCTTAAATGCAACAGTCAAAGGACTGCGTATCTGGCAACTGTCAACGACGATATAACCGAAATATTGACCACCATGTCAGGAGTATCATGCATACAGACGTCGCAGAGGTACACGGAAAGACACTAACCTTTGTAAATATGGACAATGGAAATCCCCAATCGTCCGTTGGAAAGGGTGAAAAAGGTGGCGCATCAGAAGTCGAGCGTAATTGGTCGTGATCAGTTTGGAGTACAGTCGTTGCACATTCTGGGATAGAAACGGCGAGGGGACTGGGACAACATTAGACGAACAGTAAACAGTGAATTAATATTTACAGTAGTAACGTCGAGTTCAGTGTATCCTACGTGCGACCTTTTCGCGGGGAAAAATTTAACAAAACAACTGACATGAATGGTGACTTTGTGAAGGGTCTGAAAACAAAGAGGAATAACGAAACAATCGCAGCAAGATAGACTAGATTGGTACGGCCTCCTTTCATAGATTCTGTGAGGGGGAACCAAGGTGTCTGGCACGTAAAAGAGCAAATTCGGCGGAAAACGAGTTTAAGAAAGATAGCCCGGCATAGGTGTGAGAAACCGGAAAACTCGATTTCGTTTGTCCAACAGGTCGCTTTGCAGACCATCAACCCGGCAACATGCAGCTGACGCGTGAGCGATGGGTTTAGTAGAAATTTGCCCTTTAATCCCATTTTGTACATGATATGCATGACCAGTCATTTGGTAAGCACGCACGCACGCGCACCACAAAACAAACCAAGGGGGAATTTATCAATCAGTGAGCAGTGAAATCGCATGTTGTTGTTGTTAACTGTCGAGACGGTGACCCTTGTGAGAGTTTAAGTAGTGAAAGCTAAGCCGGTATCCGCACCGAAAGAGGACACGTTGATCACTTAGTTGTGATTGGCCAAGTGCTAACACAGAGATGCGCTATGATTGTCTTTGTGCCTCGAAAACCGCCTTTGATTTGGTAGATCGTACCAAGTTGCAGTACTAACTACAGTAAAACCTCCTTAAGTTGAGCACACAAGGGACAGGACCAAAGTGGAGGTCTTATGCAAAAAAATTAGCGTAACTTATTTTTATGTGCACTCTATTTCGAGTATAATCAAATGTGCTCTTAAATAACGGCAAACACATTACTATGTTCCTCCAAGTACTCATGTTTATGCTGTTGGATGTTTCCAACTGTTGTCTTGCTAACACTAAATTGTGCTGCCATTTTTCACTGTCTGCTGATTTCCAAAAAATGTAGCAGATTAATCTACTTCAATATCGACTCTGAGCTTTTTCCTTGGGGCCATAATGTTACGATACGCATAAAGGCTAATCGCGAATTGCTCAAAGCACGGAGTGGATCCAAGATCCTGTGTGCTAATTGCAAAACAATAATTACATACCATATCGAACCCTAATTGTTTGCGCTCTCAGGCAGCCAACAAATAGCGCGGGATAGGTGCTCAACGATCAGTGTAGACGTAATCGCTAATGCCGTCACAATGCAAGAGGCTAATGAACCGGTTACACAGGCACTCAAAAATGTGATTGCAACCCGCGCAATGCGTGAGCACATGTTCCAAAGGGAGCCGCGATGAGTGCGTGTAGAGGTTTCACACAAAAACTGTCAGACAATTTGTGGACGTGGGTCTGTGGGGACATAGTGTATGAGTTAAGCACTGATGCGGAGGCGGAACAAAAATACACACGTACAGTCACAGACAGAGAACATGCTGCATCGTCAAAAGTCTGCGGAGCAGCAAAGTGCAGTTGTTGTGGGTCAAGATAATTTCACACACTTCAAAACCACACTACATAAACATTAACATTTGAACAAATGTGTCGTTCAGTGACCACTGCACAGCAAACATTCAGATTGTCAAGTTATAGACGATAAATTAATAATGACTGTTATGGCTCAAGTGGTTAACAGACAGAGGTCTAGACCCACAAGGTTTTCTTAGCGAACGTGCAATCTATGAAAAAGCGGTCAATTTAGAGAGGGGTGGTAAGGATACAGAAGTGGTTACTATCAGAGGTTCTAATGTATTTCTGGAAAATCTGCAAAAGAAACCTAATTATATTCCAATAGATTTTCATCGTGACTCTCGAGACCGTGTAGTGAGTAGAGTAGAGTACGAATGCAAGTAACGGTCAAACAACAACAACAACGAACAACAAGAGCATATCAGTTAAAGGAACTGATGCATCGCGCAGCACCGAAGCCACGTCTATCAGTAAGATGAAAGAGTAGGTGTTATGCAGTCATAAAGTAATACTCCGAAGTGGGCGTAATGAATGACAGCCAAGCGGACTTCCACATCAGTAAAGCAAGCCGTGGACACTTCATGAACTTCAGTAGATGAGCGGCGTCAGGTATGAAAAACCGCTCCTTGTGATCGTTTATCCGAATTCGACACACACACACACACACACCACACACACTTGCACGCATCATTCACAAACCAGGTTCGGGAAATTCCGATCTCAGTAGCCTCATATTGGTGGTGGTGTGTCGACTTCCATGGAGAGCCAGCGCATGAATTCCTTATTAAAAGTCGTGTATGTCGCAGGCCCCATTTTTCAATCTATACCAATCTTGTGACTGAAACGCGCAGTTCCGGTTCCGTCTTGCTCTATTCTTCTGGAGTACAAGTTCAGCAAGGTGACAGCCACTGCATCGTCCACTAAAGTTGGACACAACACGTTTGGGGTTGCAACTGGAAAGGATGATGCAAAGAGTAATGCGCATTGGTGCGTGTTTCGCTTTTTTAACACACAACATACAGTCGAAGGGCTGAGCTGACATGTGTCACCTTCTCAAGTGTTGAACTGCAACCCGAGTTTGCAGACTTGTTGCATCCCCTCTAGTGACCGGATCACTTAGTTGCTGGACCGTGTGGACTTTGGATACCTTCGGGGACAGTGAGGCTTCAGCCTGACAGTGAAAGGTGGGATGGCGCAAAGCAGAGATAATGCAACTAAGCACTGGAAACAGTCGGAGACTGGTCAACACCAGTCCCTGATACCTGTGTTGCTCCTATGTAGTAGGAGACTGGCGTAGCATTGAGTCGTTTGTCGCAAGTGAATTCGTTGCGTTGGCTGGGCCAGACATAACGGATACCTATCAACAACGTTACTCAGGCTGTTGTTTGCTAATACCAGATGAAGCCCAACAGAGACCGACCAACACTATGGTAGAGTATTAGGTTGCTAATAAATTGCGGCTTTTAATCTTATAATTTGAATGCACATATCTTGGCTCAAATGTGTCATTTTTAATCGAAATAAAATTCAGTTGAATTGACAGACTTTTGCCAACGGGAAAGCAGTTTATTTATCCTGGGTGAATGAAATTCCGGAGTTCTGGTGGCGATGAACTCGTGGAATGCGGTTGTAGTAGCTCATTGAGTGTTAAAACATTTCGTTTGAAGAAAGTTATCCAGGTGCTTGAAAAAGTGAAAAACGGTAGAAGAGAGGTCAAGGGAATGTGGTAGGTAAGGCAAACCTTCGTAGCCCATCTGGTGCAGCTTCCGCAGCGTTGGTTGTGCGACGTATTGCTGGGCGTTATCGTAAAGAAAAATTTTCCTCATTCTGTTGATCAGTGTAGGACACATGTGTTGAAGTTTTCAATGAATTGCAACAATTTGTTAAAAATACTTCCCCACTGTAATGGTTTCACCTGGATTCAGAAAGCTGTGATGGATCGGACCAGTCGCAGATCACCAAACAGTTACCACAACCTCTTCGGGTGATGTTTGGGAGTTCAGGTAAGTGCTGTGAAAGTTGATCGTGGTCCAACCGTTGGGCAGTTCTTCGTCGATTATCCACTTTTGACCACACGTAATAACTCGGTCGAGAAACGGGTCATTTTTATTGTGCCGAAGAAGGGTAGACGACAGTTCAAAACGATGATTTCTTTGATATTCATTCGTCGGCCGGTGGCCGAGCAGTCTGCACATCTGGCACGCAATCATAAGATCACCGGTTCGAATCCGCGTAGAAGCGGGAATCCTCGCGACTTACTCATCCCACACACGACTGGTGGTGGTCGCGCGACAGCGAAGCACGGTTACGGTGTACAGCTGACGAGTACATTTACCATTTCCAATCAATTAGTGCCGTGCCTACTGGTCAAGCTTTTTCGACATTCCTATCTACCGTAACTGATTGAAAACTGTCATAGGCGAGTCTACTAAGTCAGATGCAAAATCCAGAATAGTTTTAAGCGGATCCGCTTCAACTAAGGCATTTAACTGCTCGTCAATTACTTCTGATGGCTGTCCATAACTCTCCCCATTTGCAAGCGTCATGTAGCCTTTTCGAGATTTTTTGAAACCAGCATTGTATAGTATGGTAATTAGTGGTTCCAAAGCCAAATGCGCTGTTGATGTTACTGGCAGTTTCCGCTGCAAATCAACCAAGTTTAAATTGGAACAAGAAAAATGTGCGAATTTGTCTTCTGTCCATGTTCTGTAAAAGTGTAAAAACGTGTTCTTTGGATAAGCTATCATTAGTGCTAGAGAGAGCGAAGAAAGCGCTTCAAAATTATACACAACATCAAGGCAACTTATTGAAAACTTAATCAAAAACGAAGATGGTAAAATCAACATATTAAAAACCGCAATAACACAACAACCTAATGGTAAGAAAGATGGGCAGCAGTTTGGATGTGAAACCCATCTGGATGAATGGGATCTAGCAATCAGCCATGTCGATAGTTGGAAACCTCAGCAGATGTGATGTAATGCTGGTACTAATGAGATGCTTGTACTTGCTCCGTTGCATAGCAATTCTGAGTCCTTCATCCACTGACAAAGACGATGTTCTGCTGCCTTTTGTATCCGCTGTCCCAGCTTTGATGCCATGTAAGTAGAATTATAAACATTGTCATAATGAAGTGAGAAATGCTGAGTGAATAACACTTACTTTTTGCATATGACGCACCGGAAACGCTGTTAAAGTGACGTTAAGGTAGGGGACAATCGTAATTGCTACAAAATAAAAGACAACGACACATAAAAACGGTAGACTTACGCACAGCTGTAGCATCTTGGTTCGAATGCAATGGAATATCGGTAATGTGGCGCACCTGCAAATGGAAAAAGTGAACGCAGGGCAGACATGCAACAAGGAGGATAAAATAGATATCGACAACCAATCGATATTACTTAAGTGGATGGAACAATGTTCCGAAATACTCGGCAGAATTTCTTGTGCCATGGTGTTTCAAGTAGTTAGTTGTAAAGAAGCAAAGACAAACCGATTCGTCATATAATCAAAAGTGCATGCATGGGGATACTCACCGCATTGCCGGGCGCTTCGCTAGTAAAGGATAAGTCCGTTTCGGCCAGTGGCGTGTGCGTGACTATGTGTTCATTGGGGATTAGGTAGATGTCCGCTGTATGCACATCAGAGTTAAACGCAGCCGCTTCAACGGCACAGCATGATGAGGCCCAGCACGTGCGATCGCGAACCCAAGAACGATCCACAAAAGCACATTGCGAAAGCCCGTTCTCAAGTAAATCTGAAAGACGAAAGATATGAACTCCATCCGAAACGGGGACAAATCGTGTGTTGGGCACATAGTGCCGTCAACAGCGAACAGTGTACAAACGAGAAAAGGAGGAAAAACTAAAATTTATATTACCAGCGCATTAAAAATGAAGTAATGCCGGAGGATTTTGAGTAGTAGGGAAAACGATCACGCGGTCTACTTACGTGGAGTAGACATCTTGACAAAGAAACCGCCGATGTAAGTAAGGTGTGTACTGAGTGACAGGCCAGCTTAGACAGGACTTTGGTTTTGGCACAGTGGAGCTTAACATGGAATGACCTTGACAGATTTGGCCCACAAAGTCGTAAAAAAAATAATAATGGTGGCTACATTAAACTCGTCCACTACTTCGCTTCAGAGGTTTAAATTTAGTTGTCGTCAGTAGAGAAGTGCAGCGTAGCTGACAAATGTAAAACGCAGTAAGATGCTTTTGATGTTCCTATGGGTGGTCTGAATTTCGGTAACTGCCATTCCTTCCTGTGTCCGCGACAAGAAATTCATATGTTCAGCAAGAAACCGTATATATGATAGGAAAATTTTTTGGAGGACTATATTCTGCCATATTTAAAATTTTCGTAAGACAACGGCTTAAAAGCTGTACAACAATTAACAAAAATCAGTGGAAAGCAGACATGTAAGGTTTAGAAAACATTCAGAAACTCCTTAGGAAAACATCTTCAAAATGGTCAGCGAACGATGCAACGCGTCAAAATTAAGACCGTTATGATTTATGACCATGATCATCATAGTCACTCTTAGTCAGCAGCGTTGGGCTAGTCTGGAAAACCACCAGACACAGGCGTTACGACATTCTGGGTCTCATCAATGATGCGCCTTCCAGCGGACCTCCGCTAGGTTCCACCCCGCATGACTTCCGGATGCCAGCAGCTAGTGCCACTTCGCCATGGATGACAGCCGAGGATCTGCGTGATTGACAGTAGACTATGATATAGTCTGGCTCATCTTCCATTGTCATGCCAGGTACGAACTGTGCAGAGGACCGTTATGGTTAGATAGAACTGAGTAGAAGCTACCTTCCACAGACAGATCAACGGTTTGAAGTAAGTAGCCCAAGTTGAGTATGCGTTTTAAGCACCTAAGTATTATACAATAAAAAAACGGCGGGCGGATATAGTGTACCTCAAAAGGAATACGCCAATCTGCGCTCAACCTTTTACACAACAAAGTGTGCATATACATGATATAAGCCGTCAGTGACAATCCGAAATATTCGTAGGCTCTATCAATTCAGAATATTGGTTAACAAGCGAGTGTCGTAAAAACCTAAGAACCCGAAAATCATAGGTGCCGAAAGCGAACGGTTCATCATGGCAGTTCAATCAACTAGCGGGAATTCACACCTGGAGCTAAAGATTGCACCTATTCCGGTAACAGCTGTGGTCGCAGTGACAGCATCATCGGGTGCATATAACCAATGGCTAGAGGATGTGTTATGTGTGAGTCATCGATTCGAATTTCGGAGGTAGCACATGTCAGTTCATAAGCTATTTAGTGTGTACGAAAATGCATCCCGTTATACTATCCAATTTCGGGCACGAACGCTGGACGAAGTTAAAACGGTGGCAGTGTGACATGATAATGAGTTTTGATGGATAGAGGCAATGTTGATGTAGATGGTAAGGTTTTACATAAAGCTGCAACAATTAGTACATGTAGGAGAGTACAAGAGGATGGCTACTAACGGTAATGAGATAGTTTCACAAAGGTGTACGAAATAAAGGGGGTTTCAGCAGAAGCCAAGCTGTAAGCATCTGTGATACAGTGTGCAGCAAATAAGCGGATCGATGCAGAACGAAGTTGAACATTGTTGGGAAAACTTTGGTTGCATGTGAGCTGTGATACCACCAAGGCAACCAAAGCTAGACAGGAGGACTAGTAAGGTTCTCAATAAAACTTGACTACAAAGCAGAGGGAATACAGTAACGGTTCATAAGTTGAGTTGATTTACAGAAACGAAAACAACAATGTAGTAACCGGATTAGGCCGAGCTCGCCGCCTTTAGATGCGAGTAGTACACAAGTATTTTATAGTGATGTAAGTTAACCGTTTTCCCTAACGGGAGTAACCAAACTGATCACCACTGTTCAATGTTAGCCTGTGCACGACGCTGCTGGGAGGACTCTGGTGTCACTTGAAAAAAGGACGATCAGAGCTGACGGTGGTTGATGTCTCCGAGAAAGTTTCGTAGAAAATGGCCGGCACGGCCTCCAGTTATACACGGTTATCCAGAAGAGGAGAAGCCTAATCATGATGTAAAACGCGCGGAATATTCAAAAGCCAAGGATCAGCTGCTGTTTTTGCAGCTTACAAGATAAATGGATTGACCGATAACCTAGAGTTTTCGCAAGTCAGAAGGTTTGCGTTACCGTGAGCTGAAGCAGCGTCCTGGTCAGGAATCGAGTGGAATAACTGATGCACTGCCTGTTGGAGTTAATTAGAAACACGCAACAGGCCATGGTAACAACAGGATCGGGGCACACGAGGCGAAGGCAGTGGCACCTCATCACGGCATAATCACAAGTGATGGGGCCTATTCGGACCCAGTGCTGGTCAGCTGCGAGAACGCCAACCGTCACATCAATGAGAAGTTGTCATGTACACTCATCATGTGCGCCGAATTATACCCAATGATGCGACCGATATCTTTGAGAGGCTGGAATAAGCTACTTATGTATTTATTTTCATGACAATTAGAACAAAGCTGAGATAGTAGCACCGCGCAGTAGCATGCTAGGTTCGTGACAGAAGGCGCCTAAGGCAGCGTCCGAGTTGATGAGCAAGCACGAATCACGAGTGAACCGCGTCTAGTACCGCTCCGTGTGTTACCATCAGTTGAGGTCGTGAGAGCACATGTCTGGATAAAGGATACACGCAAGCTCAGCTTGTCGTTCCGCTGTCTTAAGTTACGAAAGCTTAACGCAGTCAAAGAAGATGAGTGGCGTGAAGTGGTGACGAGCTCCAGATGGCAAGAGACTGTCGAATAGGTAGCGATATTTGCACAGACAACATATGGAAAGATGGAGCGTGGTATGTGTTGCGATAAGGTCAAGTTGTTCCGCAGAAATATTCACCCGCGACACAGACACCGATACGCGCGTGAGTAATCAAAGGGATACGCCGCGCGACACTCACAGTGTGACCACACGACTTGCAAACCAAAACGCAGCAGACTTTCGCGAGCCAATTCGTTTCAAAAAAACTCATGCCCTGCGTAAGGAGTCATTTGTACCATAAACACGAGGGTGTACCCACCGGCATCCGTCATGCGGTCGTCATGTGTGGGTGCGACACTCAGTTTGTAAGATTACCGTTCGTCTAAAAGACGGCTAGATTTCGTGGAGGCGTAATCGGTCCGGATTGTGCAATTGTCCACTGAACGTGTGGGAATGACGCATAAGGAATGTTATTGGGCTTCGCAATAGTCTATTTAAGTTTATCCGTCCCGCTGGAGACAGAGTGATGCAGGATGGGGCTTGTGGAGGACTCTGGTTGCAGGCAGAGTAGGATACCGTCAGGTTGTTAAAACCTTAAAGTCCTTTGATAAAACATTTGACCCCAAAACAAAACCGAAAGGTAGTGAGAAAAAGCAGCGGCTTATAAGATGCGGAAAGTTTCACCCAAGTGAAAGACATGATAGATCCAAACGCCAACTTGGTGGGGGGATGACGAATAAATAAAACATAAGGACAAAATACAAGTTGATTCTGACAAGGGAAGTAACATACTGACATGACATTAGCATGTGGAAGGAAAAACAAAGACGTCGTAGTTACGAGCGGTCAGGCAGCCACCACACAAAGAAATAGTTAAGGTATAAAAGTTCCAAACAAAGAGCTGCCGTGCTCAGTAAAGACCGCCGTAAGACAGCAGTGAAAAGGCTAGATCTACAACCAAATGACAATGATAGTATGTTAAAATTGTCCATACAGCGGAGTAAACAGGTGGCACTGTATGTAGGAGATAATTAAGTGCAGGAAATAGGGAATAGAGCAATTGAAACATACTCGGAAAAAGACTCAATAAAGTTAAAATCCAGTTGCACATCCACCCGGCTGACTCGCCGGTGAAAAGGATTCGACGTTCAAGTAGAACCAGCTTAAACAGAATCAGAGCGTCGCGCCCATAGACCCGGATCAAGTTCGCGGGGCTCAAATTGTAGTGAAGAGCATCTATAAGGAACAAACAAATACTAAGTTAAAGGCGGACTATGTCAAAGATGATAGGGAAGACCCAAGTGAAAGAAGGATTATGTCCAACAGATTTGTGCATTTCGAAATACCGCCCGCAAGGGTGGACAAGAAGCACATGGCTAACGAGCAGTTGAGCATGAAGAATAAGAAAACAATCAACCAACTATTTCACATAAATGGGGCATGGTGGTTGCATTCGTGCGATGGGATGGTGGCAAACGTTTGAGGAAGCATGACGAAAGAGCACAGGACGAAGCAATGGTACAAAACATTACCTTGGTAGGCAGGTGGATTTTTCAGTACAGCATCGAAGTTAGTGTTCAATTCGATGTAGAATTGTTTGAAGCGCTCGACAGTGAAAGGACCATTCTCAAACAGTGCGTCCGCCAAAACAGACAGATGGTGGGCGATGAAACCAAACAGGGGCTAAAGAGGAGGGGCGTGTTTTAGGAGTTCTTATAACTTACAACAACTATACGAAAGGAGATGAGAAAGAAAATATGGAAAAAGACACTGGAAAAATGATGACTATCATGTTGTGGTCAAAAGAGCGGGTGGAGCAAGCTGAAAGGACTTGAACGAACCGGAATAGTCCAGGCCATAGTCCAGCGTAGTTAAACATCAATAAGGTGGGTCTATAAATGCCATGATTTGTGTCGCCACTATACTTGAAATAAACTATGAAGAGAGAAATGGAAGGAGTATGCAGAAAATAAAACGCAGAGCCGCAGGTGTCTTATCGATAGAACCAAGTAAGGTAACCAACGAAGGATGTGCTCAATCCCGAACACTCTATTCGGAACAACAGAGACCCATTTAGATCAAGTTTCTCAGTCAGCTTTTTCATGTTTTTCTCTACTTCAGCGATTGACTAGCATGCGAATTCAAGTAACTGGGCGCAACGAGGACAAACAGTGCACAAAGACGTGACCCATCTAGTGTACATAGTTTAAATTGAAATTTCAGTGTGGCGCTAGAAGACTTGCCTCCAAACGACAATCAGTGTTCGCAGTGCTTCGCTTTCGCTGTTCCCACCAGCTAGGAGCAACATTCCACAAACATAGAGGATCAATGAAAACCAGGTTGTTAGAGTCGTAGATGCGAACTGGTCACATCCACCCAATAACCTCAACCATACATTAGCACTGTACACCGTGCCTTTGAATGATAAGTTGGAAACCCGGTCTCCATAGAATACCAATATTTGAAAAATTACGCAGGTCCTGCTAATAAATGCATTGAACTTCTAGGCGAATTGGTGATCGAAGGCTATACGAATACCACTTAGAACAAGAATAGAGGATAGAACCGGTGGCGCAACGGTCAAGTCCTGAGAAATATTGGAGAAAAGGCAAACTAAACCCACCCCACCTCTTGTGTACAAAGAAGGAAACGGTTGTTTCCAAATCATCAGACGACCTCGAAGCTGGACGCTTTATTTTCAGGCTCTCATAGAAAAAATAGGAATGAGTGGGTGGGTTGATATGAACGAGAAGCAATACCGGAAACCAGTTCAATTGAACAACCGTGATTGGAGCATCTAAGTGCGGTGCATCCAGTTGTCACGACTCACATCTTAAGGATGACAATAAACAAGGGCAAGATAGTGGCAATGGATGCAGATAGAATGTAAAGAAAATGCAAGCAAGAAGGGAAAGAATTAAACTAATCAGAATGGAACGAAAATTAAAAACTAGAGGCAAGAAACTGAATGCGGAAATCAGTGCAGAGTACATAATTCTTTTCGAGTTAACCCACATCAGGCCCAAACGCTTACATGGCACTGATTATGTGTGGTAAGCGTCAAATAGAGCTGCGGATTTGTTCCTAACTTCTTTGAATAGTCAAATCGACAACGCATGGCGCCCATATGCAACAAAGCAGCACAACTCATCATGCTTATACAGTCAAACCTGTTTAAGGCGATCACTCAAGGGGCCGACTAAAATTGGTCGCCTTGGACAGAGATGGTAGCAATGGACAGGTTCATGCATAGGGACAACACTCATGGGAGAAAACTTTGGGGATGTTTTTGGCTGGTCGCCATAGCAGGTTGGACTGTACAACTGACTACATACTTTGGTAGACTACACGCAGGTCGTGGTAGGAACAACGGGGCGTCTTTGATGAGTGAGTGAAAATTTACAGTCTGTATGTATTTTTTCCCTTATCGGTTGACTGCTTTAGCTCGATGATAGCACATGTATGGCACTCTAGGTCAGCAGGGTCCATTTCCGAGCGATTAGACACTCTAGCATCTTAACCTACTCCACCGAGAGTGTTAGCTGACCCCCTTAGAAAAGGTTACCCGAAAAGGCCAGTCGTCAGAATTATGTTGACTGAGGCGGATGGCTTGACTCATTTTCACTCCATCCTCATATACGCCGAAGAACCTATCAGCAAGGCTCTGCAGAAACTTAACGCTATAATCAGCGTGCCAAAGGGATAGGATCGGTGAACACACGCACGTACAAGGCAAGAAGATTCGACCGCCAATTGTTAATCGAGGCGCATCTTGCAAGAGGAGCGTCAGCCTGGACCTCGCTGGACCTGACTTGTTGTTCATCAGCAACGGGAAGCATCCCTTGTTTCGCGTTCTTCTTGAATAGGTATCAGCACTATACCGACACGCAGTACCGACGCTTGCCTGCCGCGCACCCACCACCAGTCGCACGAGAGCCAAGGATATTGCAAGGGTAGCCCCGTTCCCCTATGAAGGCTTGAACCCGCATCATCGGATTACAAAATAGGCTTGTGATCTTTGAGGCCAAGGGCCAGCTCGCAGATTCTTCCGTCGTTGATTTTTCCATAGCTCTTTAGCTATAGAACATTCATTACCTGCCTTTAGAGAGAGCAGAGTATAAATTTAATGAACTCTTAGCACCAGTTGGTGTTGTGCTTCCGGAAGCCATGGAACACTGGGATAATGACTTGACAGCGGAAGAGCAAGAAGGCTGAGTTGAAGCTCTAATGGGAACTAAGCCAATGTGCGTGACCATGCGTTTAGAGCTGTTCACAGTTGGACATTTTTGGTCATGCTTGTATCGGTAGATGTCATACCTAGGTCTGGTTGTCTTCGATTGCAGTACTAATCGCGCAAAAGTTGGATAAAATCGTGTTGATTAGAATGCCTGACGGTAGGAAATGGGTACGTAATCCAACGTACGAGATATGAAAGCTAACACTAGTAGGGCCTATAGCAGTGTATCCAACAATCTTTGATGAGGAGCCGTAAACATATTTGTTCGGTATTGGCAATAAAAGAGTTGAAAGATGTGAAATGGTGAAAAATTTTGTAGAATGGAAATTCCAAATCTGCGAGAAGCTAGCACACAAAATACAAAGAAAAGTTTACAGCGTTGAAAATTCTAAGAACGAATTTTAATGCACCGAAAAATCCACAGAGAAAGAATTCTGGAAACGTAACTACGGGGGTAAGCATCCGGATACAGCTAATCTCAGTCCATCGTCATCACCATCATCAACATCATCGTCATCATCACCATCATCATCATAGACGTTAGATAAGGTGGGGAACACCTTAGCTATTGTGCCGCAATACATAGAAAAAAGGAGAAAAAAGCACCTGGTGCAAGTCGGCTGAGCTACCGGTAACGGATGGGCATCGTTGCGGTAAGCTACCAGCCGGCAACTGTGCATCAAAAATATTACTATGCAAAATTATACAAGGCTAAATAATGAGATCATGTTTGGAGGGGGAGGCTAAAAGGGATGGGGAGGGACAAAGAAACTCACAGCAGGAACGCCACTGAGGTCGGCTACTTGCCATACCAGCAAGTGTGTCCAAACAAACGTGATCATCGTCCTTCGGACCTCAACCAGAGAGCCGAGACGTTCCAACCGAGGCCAGCTCCGAAGCGAGGGACTTTATTCCATATTTACATATTTCTTTGGCACACCTTTCCTGAGTAGACAATTCCAAAATGCAAGTCTATCCACCGAATCAAATGCACCTTTGATATCGAGGAACACGGCTACGCTGGGCCACCAATATATGTGACGGTGCTCCAACAACTGACACAAGGTGAAGATGTGGTCAATGCAGCCGCGACCTCGACGAAACCCGGCTTGCTCTTCACGAATCTGGCTTTCACAAGTGCCAGTCAGTCTGTGAAGGATGACAGAGGCAATCAATTTGGAGGCGATGGAGTTCAGACTGATTCCTCTATGGCTGCCGCATTCCGATCGTGAGCCTCCCTTGAAAATTGGGACTATGACGGAGCGGTTCCAGTCGTTTGGGACAGTTTCCTGCTCCCACAGTTTGACTAGTAACTCGTGTAAATCATCCACAAGAGCAGGTCCCCCGAATGTGAAGAGGGCAGAATGAAGATCATCTGGTCCCGCGCCTTTATATAACTTCAGCAGTCTGATCTCACGTTCGACTTCTGAACGAGAGGGTGGATCCAAAGGAACAGCCCACGGAACGGGGCGATCAGTGGAAGGCGAGAAATATAACAATTCCGACCGATTAAATTGCCTTTCAAAGTGCTCAGCCCAACGCTTCAAGCGTTTTAACAAGTTGTGGATAGGCTGTCCACTCTCGTTACAAATTGTTTCACTAACACCAGGTCTTCTGCTGCCCGATTCCCGTATCAGACGGAATAATTTACGATGGTTACCAAGGGCAGTGGCCATTTCCATCTCTGATGCACGACGAGACCACCAGGATTCGCGGTCTCTCTTCAGGCTAGCACGGAGTTTTGCCCGGAGCTCTTTGCGAGTTTCATTGTGCTCGCTTCCAACCGAAATATGCCGGCGAGCATCTATAAGTTCCAGAGACTGTTAAGAGGCCCAATGTCCATGTTGGATATTAGACATACCACATGAGGATTTTCCTGCTGCAAGTAAGGTCTGGTGAATAGGAGACCAGTGACCTACAACTGCATCCAGTGAGCGCTTACTCAACTCGCATGACAGCGTACTTTGATACGCATTCAGAACAGCTGGCTTCACCAGTTGGCTGGTGTCAATGCGCTCACAGCGTCGTCGTGGGCGTCCGCCAAAGCGCATCCGCAGGTCAGCACATACAAGTGCATGATCGGTGTCAACACCTGTGCTCCAAATCGAGCGACAGTTCTGGATGCAGCCTCTCCAGCGGTAACTGATAGCAATGTGATCGATCTGCGTCCAAGGCTGGTTCGAGGCTGGTGGGCGCCAAGTCACCCTCCGGCGGGTGCTGTGTCGGAAATTAGTGTTCGCAAGAAATAAGCGAGCATCCTCACACAAATGGAGTAACCGCCCACCGTTATCATTACGGGAGCCTACACCATGTTGGCTGCCCAGATGCAGCTCATCAGTTGATAATTTTCCAACTTGAGCGGTCAGATCCTCAACTAGCACTACAGTGTCCGAGCTTCTTCTGTGGCTAAGGAGCTCGTTCAGTTGACGATAGAAGTCGTCTTTTA